TACAAAGCGTATTACGTTTCTTCGAAGCCGGAATAACATTGTACCTTTCTTCTTGCTTGCGATTTCTGCACCTTCGACTCGAAATCTCTGAGACATCTGAGAATTCGATAAGCTTGCAACCAACACGTTTGATTTTGATTCTCTGTTCTGTCGGAAACAAATGCAACGCCCTCGAAGTCGAAGCAATCTCCATAGCTAATCGTCGATGGAAATATCAGAAGAAGATTGATGCAAATAAGAGATTGGAAACTTGTAACAAAAACCAAACCCTAAGAGAGGCAATTTTGTGGAGACATTGGGAGCAAGTTAGTGTCTATATATACTCTCTCTCTTACTACTCAGGCTATGTTGGCCCACATTGGACACCTGTGTATTTGCGAATTGTTTTTTTTTTTCATCTATTTTGATTTTTTTTTTTATTTGTCGGCTCATCTATTTGGATTTAATTCTTTCTTTTTTTCTCTTGATAATTGTATGTAATTTTTTTTGTTTGATTATTTGTTTTGAATCCTAGTTTCTTAGAAATCCCAGTTTGCGTTCATGAATTATATTATACTCTTCGGTAAATCATCTTTATAACAAAACAAAACGAAGGTTCATCTTCCTAACAAAATTAAGAAAAATTGGGCTCAATAACCATAATTGTTTTTATAATTCATTAAATAACCAATATCCTAAAAGATGTAATGGCTATGATATTACCAAATCATGCACATTTTAGTTAGATTTTGAGTTACAATTTTTTTCTAGGTTTTTTTTTTATGTTATTTGTTATCAAGAAGTACTGCAACAAACATCTCTCACTTGGAAACAAGAGTTGTTAGAGCAACCAGAAAGACCAAACTCACTAGATAGATAACAAGTGTGATAGCTAGTGAAGCATATATAAAGAACAAGTGGATTGCTCTCTCTTGCAAAATTTGTTATTTCCTTGAGGACCAGTTCAGTTGAGATTATAGAAACACCTCTTGTCTTTCTTCATCTCTTGTTGCCTAGTTTTATGTTATGTGTGCCGATTAAGAGATTCATAAGGACATTTTAGCAGCTGCACCATGTTTTGGGCAGCAAGTTTCACAGCTTTGTTGTTTGCTCCAATTTAAAATTATTCAAAACTAATACTAAAACCAACCGACCCGATTTAAAAATATATATATTAACCAAAAGCCCT